TCCTCCCTTCTTTGTCCAAATACATTATTTTTTCTTTCTCAGAAAGAAAGAAGAGAAAATTATTTGGAAAGAAAGCCCTTTTAATGAGAAATAGATTTAAATAATAATAGTAATCTGGACAGACCTGCCTTATGATTTGTACTTCAGGAGATTTTTCTTTTTCCTCATTCCTAATGTGGGAAAAACATATATCAATTGGAAAAAAATAAGCATTCGATTGAAATGTTCAAAGTAACAGCAAACAAGATTGTAATGCCTCCATAACTTCCTTGTAGTGTTTTAGTGTCTATTTACACACATGTCCGTACTGTTGGCTACAGGACCCCCGCTCTCCTCACGCACACCATGTCACTCCGTTAATGCTGCCTGTTCATCACCGTTCGTCTCCATTTTCCTTTCTCATTCAGGGGCTAGCTTTCCCTTTCCTCCACTGAACTTGTATCACCGCAGTACTAACCTTCTTCCTCCCTCACCTCCTGTTTTATAGTTGCTTCCTAACTGGCTTTGGCTTTTCTTACTCCAAACATCACACACCAACAAGAGGAAAGTTCTGCAGATTCTTTTCTACTTAAGTATCTTTGTGAACTCTCCATGAATTTAGACTATCACCCAGCCCCCTGCGGTTTGTATTTTTGCCTCTTTACCATAAGGCCTAACCTATCTTTGTTTGTCTCATCTTTAATTGTCTCTATACGCGTCTTAACTTTCAATTAAAATGGAACTTTTATTTGTGCCCATGCTTCTGTTTCTTTAGTCAAGCTGTTTACTCAACTGGAAGTGTGATCTCTAGTTAATCTCACCTAGTGACATATTGAATTCTCAAGCTCCCATCTGTAGAAACTTTCCCAGAGTTATCCTCCCTCCTTAAATTGCATAACTAATCCTCTCACTATATGTTTCTTGAGATTTCATCTTTATATATCCCCTGTTGTACCTTATGCATAGGAAGTGCTGCATAAATATTTTGCATTAGGTTATGTCTCTTCCAAAATGCAAAGACAAAAAAAGGCAGAACTGACCTTATATTTACTAGAGTTTGGAAACTCCATTTGGAATCTTAAAAAAAAAAAAGATTTATTTATCCATTTTTAGAGAAAAAGGAGGATGGGGGGCAGAGAGAGAGAGAATTCCAAGCAGACTCCACGCTGAGCGTGGAGCCCCACGCAGGGCCCAATCCTACGACCCCGAGATCAGAACCTGAGCTGAAGCCAAGAGTAGGATGCTTAACCCACTATGCCACCCAGGCACTGCCATGTGGAGTGTTTTTGTAATGGTTTCTGTGACTTTACAGTGACTTGTCAAGGGCTTCATATAACAGTGAGAAACAATGATGACCAACGGAAACATGAGACCCAGTATGTCTGTACTTCATATGGCAAGACATTGAGCAGTTAAGTAAATTTGATGATGTAAAGAATAATAGCTTGGTCAGAAATTATTTTCAAAAATGTTTTTGGTGGGACAAATGCTAACTCACTAAATGTCCACTGAATCACTTCAATTCCAGTGCTAAGTAAGATCAATGAAATGATCAAGAATGTGATATCTTGCTACAGGAAATTTTCCAAGTGAAAATGGGCCCTGGCATAGAAGTTTGATAGTTTTATATATGTACTTATCCATTTATTAGGTGCTTATTCAATTATTGGTTATTAATTTAAATTTTACTTGAGCAAATGATCCTATCTAAATCACCCTTTTGCGTAATCAAAGTACAAGATGCATTTGGTTACAACATGTTGACTTGGGGGGTGCCTTAAGCGTCTGCCTTCAGCTCAGGTCCTGTCCTGAAGTCTTAGGATTAAGCCCCGTTTCGGGGACCCCACTCAGTGGCTAGTCGGCTTCTCTCTCTCCCTTCGCCCCTCCCCCTGATTGTGTGCATGCTCTCTCTTGTTTGCTCTCTGTCTCAAATAAATACATAAAATCTTTTAAAAACAAAACAAAACACAACATATTGACTTGGAATACAATTTCCCATTTTACAGTTATGGGCCCCTTGATCTGAGAGTACTATCAATCATTCTTTTTGATGCTAGATCATTGACAAGCATGCAGCCCTCAACTTTGGCCTTGCTATTAAGCAAAACTGCAGCATATTCTATCACACTATATTAATGTCAGATATGGGAACACTAAAGGAGAAACCTGGTGATTTTATAACTACACACATTTACTGTGCTTTAACCTATAGTTAATCAGTTTTAATAAGTCCTTAATGAAATCTATGTCTTTAACTTAAAAAACATCCAATAAATTGTCTGATTTCTATTTATATTAAAACTTTATACTTAGTTGGATTTACTGAGGAATTTTGCCCTTTCCCTACCAGATTCTCAGGGAAGCTGTCTTTTTTTTCTTTTCTCTTCTCTTGCTTTCCTTCTTTCTTTCTGTCTGTCTTTTTTTCCCCTCAGAAACTACTTGGCATTTTAGGAATTAATTTCAAGTGAGCCTAAGTTTTCTATGTAATTCAAGAATAAATAAAATATTACGAATTGTAAATGTAAGAGAATAAGATTGTGCCAGTCACAGTTTCCCTTCTCAGAACTTGTAGATCCTGGTCACATATTTAAAGGATGGGTGTACGTGAATTAATGTTTTCCCAAATGATTCTGCTCCATTTAGCCTTCCTATACCCTACATCCACTTCTTTGGTCTGTATTAGTGCTACAACCACTTAAAACAGCTAGGAAGCACAAATTCCAGTGAGCCCAATGAATTCAGATATAACTCTGAAAGGAGGATTTTTTAGAAACCTGTTTCTCAAGATGATAAAACTTCTTGAAAGAAGAGAGGGACAGGAATTAGACTGCATTTGCTTTAAAAATAAGTTTGACTTGATTTCTTATAAACAGAGTCCAGTTGCAACTTCACTTTTTTATTCTCATTATTAGAAATACCAAGATTTGTACCCTTCTCTTTCTGATCTACATGTTTAAATAAAGCTGCTCAAAATTCCACTTGCTTTGAAAACAAAGTGCTTGTTTCAATGATTTATACAATGAATGTGTGTAGTAAAGCATCTTTCATATTTTTATTAGTTTTATTTCCACTTGTTAATATTGCTAACATTTAAAGCCAAGTTAATGGAACACCAATGAGAAAACCAAAGCTATTTATATTAAGCATTTTAAAGTATTTTAAAATACAGCCATGCTCAGATAAAGTTGAAGAATCCCAGAATTCAAATTGCCTTCATGAAAATGAACAGGTTACAGCTTAGAACATGGAAATAGCCATAATACATTTTAGTAAAGTGTTTTATCCTTCATGGATACTTCATTTTCCATTTATCCACAAGTGAATATTCACATTAAAAATATCCATCAATACTCAGCTATAAAGATGAATGCGTGAGTTATTTGTAAGTGAATATATACATGGCCAAAGTTTAATTTGGCTCTCCATTCGAAAAAAGTAGTGTCGGTGGATATTGGGCATTATCACTCAAGTCATGCTTACATTGTTTCAGAGGTTTATAATCAAAGGAAAAAAAACTCTGATTTAGTTGAGGAATGCACAATGAAATGTATTCAGATTAAAAAACAACTATATATTCTATAAAGATAAGCATAACCATGCCAGAACCTCATTCATGTATTCTCTAACCATGTGGGCAGAATTACTGCATTAAAAACTAGTATCAAATGCAGAGGCCCTAGCTCCCTCCACATGCCCTAGGATAAGCTTTGATCACAAAACTCCTGATCCTCATGCTTGCTCTTGGCAATGGAAACAATTTTTAAAGCTTATCTCCAAAATCACTTTGGTAATTTCCCAAAAAATTAGGTAGTGGTGAATGCATGGTGAAGTCCTTATAATCGACGGATATGCCAAACTATTTACAGGAATGTAATGACCAAAGCCTAAATTTAACTCTCCTCGTAATGAGAGAGGCATTTGGGAAACTATCAACCAACATGCCCTACACTTTAGTGTGGTTTTCTCTGCTCCTATCTCTAAGAATCTACAGAGCTCCAACACTCGTGTTCCTTCGAGGTGCCTCTAATAGAACTCCACTTTTAACATGAACTTTGAGCCTGCTCTCATTTTTTAAAAAAGAGAACATCATAACAATTTACAACAAAGATATAAAACTGACAGTGTCCAAACATAGAAGCTGGCAAAGATAATATGCGACACGCACCTAAAACTATATTTCTAGGATGTTTTTAGTCTGGCAGTTATTAATAGTATATATTTAAGACCATATCTTCAATATGAACCATTACTCAATTTGCTAGATAACAATTCTTTTCCCACAACGAGTGAATACAAGCACTGTTCTTCAATGTTTTTCGTCCATTTAGGGAACGTTAACACTTTTGTAGAGCATAAAGAAAAAAATCAGTTCTTTCTGTATTTAGTTTCAGTGTTGGTAGATCTAAACATTTCAGTGTTAACTTCATACTTCATAAATGCTGCGAGGCAGAGAATAAAATGGTTAAATGTAACTTTTTTTCACCTGTATTTAAAAGAAATTACTTTGGCGGTTTCCATCCTAGTTTGTAAATCACCAAAACTAAAGTAACTACAGTTCTATTTAATATTGTGTCAGGAAATGGACTTGATTAAAATACAGATAAAAATTGTCCTTTTAATAAGGTAAAAATTGGCCTTTTCTTCTAATTTAGTTTGTTCTGGGGAGTGAAAGATCTGGATATAGATGCCAGGAAATCATGGCTTTATGGTTTTCACTAGCTCTATTCCAAACAGGGCATACAAATAAGAAGTAAGGGAAAAAAAATCAAATAACAATATTTTCCAGGCAAAAAATTACTACACAAACATTAGGCATGAGATTAGGCTCCCATTACAAACAATGATAGATTATATTTAAATAAAATATTATTAAAGTTATTAAAATATTCCATCTTTAAAATATGAATCACGGAACTTACAAATTCAAAATCTTAATGGGATACAAGTAAAATAAATAAGATTAAAGTAAAAATATATAATAGTATTTTACTATACGGAATTTTGCAACTAATCCCTTTTACATACAGTGAAGTAATTAACATGAAAGCTGCTACTGTATTTACCTATGAATCCGTAGAACAGTTACAATATTTTTACATTTTAACCATTGGTTTCTCTGCATTTTAAATTTAAACTTCGTATTACTGAAGTGCAATAAATTGTATTGGATTCAGTTAAACTTCTTATGATTTTTGCCTGGTAAATAGAACTTATAAGTAAAGATAGCCAACCCAGTAAACCAGATTGAACAGGGCAAAAGCTGTTGGGAAAAATATTCGAGAATAGGAGTCAATTTTAGCAATGCGTATGTGTATCCTTCCTTCCCTCCATGACCCTGTTCTGCAGTCTTCAAAGCAACAGAAGAAGCTGGTACAATCTTTGCCCTCCAAACACTGATACCCATAATCCTCTTCTCCATGTGGCAGAGAAATGCTATTCATTGGAATCAGAGTGGATCCAGGATGGAGTCCAGGGGACATCTGAGTAAAATCATAAATGAGTTTTTGAGAAAAAATATCATAAAGAAAGATCAATTTGTCTCCTCAAGGCGAACTCTAAAAGACTTGGTATGTAATAAAAATAACCTTAGTTTACAGAAATCAAAGAGGTGTTCGATCCCAATGCATTTTTAGATTATAATTTACTTTGTAAAACATAACCTAACATTATTTTCCATTTCAAAGACCATGCGGGAAAATACTTTCAAATATGCAATATATTTTATAGCTTTAGAAAATCAACCCACCAAAATATTGTTAACCATGAATCTAATTCTAAAACAAAAATAAACTCTATAGTTCTCTATTTTAAATTAAAACATTCACATGCTATAAGTATCTGCTTGCTATTATTATATTATGTAATTTATTTATTTTAGTTATAATGAGAACAAAGAGCAAAGATGACATTTTGAAAATGCAGAAAAGCTTTGAGGAGCTGTGAATGAATAAAAAAAGACATAGGTTGGCTTTGTAGCAGTGGATAAGGCATCATATTTTGGAGACAGAATATGCAGGAGTTAAAAACTCAAGTTTGATGGGGCACCTGGGTGGCTCAGTGGCTAAGCATCTGCCTTCAGCTCAGGTCATGATCCTGGGATCGATTCCCACATCGGGCTCCCTGCTCGGCGGGAAGCCTGCTTCTCCCTCTCCCGCTCCCCCTGCTTGTGTTCCCTCTCTTGCTGTCTTTCTCTGTCAAATAACTAAATAAAAATCTTAAAAAAAAAAAAACCTCAGGTTTGAGAACATCTGTGCCCAAAATTCAACTCCTTCTACCAATATAGCTATCCTCACAGCTGGAATTATATTAGCACTTAATCTTTGTGATGGCTATGATGAGTAAGTTTCATGGCTTATTTAAATGAGTGCCCCATCTTGTCCAGTTATAATAGTTATTATTATCAGGATTATTTGAAACACATATCAAATTAACTTTTTAGGATACCAGACTCTAATACTTTTATAATAAAAAGATTTAAAAAATATTTAAAAATCAAGCAAGTCTAGGATACCATGAAACACTAAAGCAATCACTTCGGAGTCAGACAGGCTTGGACAGAAATTCCAGCTCTGCCCAGGAGAGTTATGTCACTCTGAACAGAAAATGTTAGTGCTCTTCTTTCTACCTCTGTGTCCTCTCCTATACAAAAGTCACAATAATACATAGATCCATTTGATAATTAAATGAGATGATGTACATAAAGCACACAGCAAAACATTTGAAACAGAGCAAGTATTCAGCATAGGTGATATTATTGTTGTCATTGTCATTGCTAGTGGTGATGCTTGAAGAAGAAATACCACCATTTGGTATAAAATACATGCTAAAACAAGCAACAGTAACAACAATATGGACCTCATGAAAAATGCTACTGGAAAAAATACTTAATGAACTCTTGAATAAAATGGCAATTAAAACATTAATGAAAACTAGTTTTAGTAACTCTCCCTTCAGAATTTCTGCGTATTTTAGGGGTTATATTAAAATGTGAATCTTACAACTTGTTGTAATTGGTGGCTTTATTATCTAAACACTAAATATAATGCTGAGATTATAAAAATTATTTTAACCTGATCTTAAATTCTTCCTGATGAAAATGTTTGCAACAGTTTTTTCATCCTGCATTTTGAAATAGAGAAATTTCAAAGCTATGAAAATCAAACATTGTATGGAAAAGTTTTTAAAAGACACAAAAGAGAATTTTTAAATATTTGGACCTATATTCAAATCTATTTTGTTTCTAATTCAAACTACTAAATATTAAAATTCAGTAGATGTAAAAGTAGCAAATAATCATATTTAGTGATATTTTAAAAGAGAAATGCATCACACAAGTCATAATACTAGAAACAAAATGTGCAGCCTGACGATAAGGAGCAATGCCCTAAACACAAATAAATTCATGACTCCACTTGCCTGAATGTATCATAAAAAGCAGAAGCAGTATATTATTAAATGTTCATGACATATCTTTTGAGCTTGACACTTGGGAATACCTGACCAGAGTCCAAAATTTTAGCGAAACAAACTTATGTACAAAATGAGGCAAATTGGTATTCATTTCCTTGTCACTTAATACTTAAATAGCATATGTTCAAATACTAATCAGAATGAAAAGTGATTAAAATACAAGTTTGTTAGTTGGCAATTTCAAGGTTACATGGCACAAAATTCCATATATCACTCAGCACTGCCCTAAATAGGAAAACGATGTGTTTGTTGGAAGATATCAATTGTGCATGAGGGGGATGATTAAACATGAAAATGTCCAAAAGTGGAGAAAAACTGCAAGTCGTTCATTTTAAAACTGGACTAATCTCTGGTGGTCAAAATCATGGAGAGCTTCTACAGGAGTGACACTTTCAATTGACATCCAGTTCCTGCTGCCCCCTCAAAACACCACAAGTTCATAAAGTAAAAGAAGCTACACTTTAATGAATGGATGGATGTGAACAGAAATAGACTTTACAGATGCTGAGAAAAATATCCCAAGAGCTGACACAGTAGCAATAAAATAAAATATTTTGACACATAGATTGTGACCTGGAAACCACTAAAAGAGTAATCAGAAGAATATACACATTCCAAACCTTATTTATCTGAAGTGCAGCTGTGTTACCCATCTTATAATTTCTCAAATAAAACTCCTATTGCCCCCCAAAATAGTAAGTATTGAAAAAATAAAAAATAAATTAGTTTAAGTAATATAAAAAGAAACTACACACTGAGTAAGATTTTCTTTTACTCTAAATAATATAATTTTGAGAATATACCATTTTGTTATTTGAAAAAGTCACTAAGAATATAGCTGAATTTAACATTATGAGACATTGATCCCATTCTCATTATTAAAGATATGTTTGTCTGCTTATATATTAAATACTACATTACTTATATATTAAAGATTTATTTATTATTTGAGGGGGGGGCTCAGAGCAGAGGGAGACAGAGAAAGAGAGAGAGTCTCAAGCAGGCTCCCTCAACAGCGCAGAGCCCAACATGAGGCTCAGTCTCACGACTCAAGATCATGACCTGAGCAGAAACTAAGTCAGAGGCTCAATCAAGTAAGCCACTCAGGTGCCCCCCCTTTATTTTTTAAAGATTTATTTATTTACTATTTGAGAGAGAGAATAAGTATTACATTATTTATATATTAGTGATAGAGTAAAGTATACAAAATATATTTCAAGCACCAAGATACACTAATGCCAAAGAAATATTAAGTAGTAAATAAAATATTTATGAAATTATATTTATGTATGTGTTTGTATATTATAATTATTATTTGTGTCATATACTAAAATCATCAATGTTATTAAATATTAGAAATATGAACATCAAACGTTATTAGGTCATGTTACTGATATTATGAAATACTGACTAATATTACTGTTATTAATTTCCCATTTAAAAACTTTGCATGCGAGAATGCAAGCCTGAGCACAGGTTTTCTCCACTCCACTTTTATAAAATCCCATTGAAGTATCAATCGGGATTTCAAAAACTACAAAATCCACATCAGTGTTAAAAACAGACATGAAGTGGATCTTCGTGATGCGGAGCAGCCAATCAGCATGTCGGAATTCATACTACGTTTTTGAAAGGCGAGCAACAGGTGAAAATAGACCAACAGATAAGGTAGACCAAAGGAAGCCCCATTTCAGAAGAGGCTCAGAAAATGGAAACCTGGGTGTGGGAGCTATTGTTCCCACCCAAGACACTTCAGAAACACTCTAATGCAGGACAACTGAAACAATAAGCAGGATGGGACACATGGCGTTAGTTAAATGTCCATCTCCAGAATAGCTACAGCTGTTTGAACCACTGTTCATCTGTGTATATAGAAAAGTAGAGATGCTGACAGGTTGGTGTCTGCTCATGTGTAGAATTCTGTAACTTCTAAAAAAAAAAAAATAAATAAACAGACAAATTCATGCCACTCTAGGCAGGACTAGGGCTCATGAAGTTGTTATTGGAATGTTCTAGTGATACCCTCATCATCTTTTAGAGTGCATGTGTGTATGTCTGGAAGCAGTAAGATGTCATGCTCCCCTTCCACACACATGATAATGAAATGTGACAGTTGCACACTCAACAGTTACATACAGGTCAAGCTTGCTGGGCCTACTGGAGAAAAATCACCAAGAACTTTCAAGGTAAACTAACAGTATAAAGGAAAAACATGAAGACAAACTGATTCTGAATTACTGATTCTAATGATTTAGGAAACATAAAGGAATATTAAACTTTTGAATTAGTTCACTCAGAAATACTTGAAGGGATGTTGTGTCCACTTAAGGAAAACAGGCGGGAGAACACTTAGAAAATGGGAGCTCTCAGAAATTCAAGAAGTTATTGTAAATTTAGAAAAAAACCTAAAGCATTGTAAAATAAAATCTTGAGGAAGGAAGTTGCCCACAATATACAGACAAAAATACCTCAATAAAAAATATGATACAAATGATGTAATATATGGTGATTAACATAACAATAAAAAATTTAAAAAAGAAAAAAATATGATAAAAAGAAAATCTGGAAGATGTGGATAATTAACCAAAGAGGTCTAAAATCCATCTAATGAGAACTTTAGAGGAAAAAAAGAAGTAAATTGAAATAAAGAATCAAGAAAATTCTCAGAAATGAAAGATAGGAATATTAAACAATGAGGAAATGATTAAAGTCAAAAAAAAAAACAAAACAACAGAAAGTGTACTGATTCTTAAGAAATTTTAACCCCATGGAGAAAGAGATGAAGATGAACACTTTCAGGTAGGAAAAGAAAAACTTTACTGACAAAGAAATAATAATCAGATTGGCATTATAATTATCGATAATAATGAATTAAGAAGTAGCTATTTAAGTGTATTATTTAAAATTTGGAAAATTAAGCAATAATTATTAAAGGTAAGATAAAATTATTGAAGAAAATAATAAGGAGACAGTGGGAAAGCTATATTTTTCTCTTACACCAAAGAGTGAT